TGTTAATTTTGCAATTCATAGCAGTGTATGTTCAGTAAGTCCTGGCACATATTCCCGATTTAATAGATGAGTAGTGACAGAGACACAAACATAAATCATTGTTCCTTCATGGCAGATGTCAATGTGTTTGCACATGAGACTCTAGAACACTTGGCCAGACCTGACTATTCTGCTCTTTTCTCTAACTTTGTAATTAGGTGAGTAGGAGATGGCTTGTTATTTTGCAGATCTCCCCACAGCTCAGTGAGTAGGTGTCACACGCTATTGATTATAGAGATACAGAGTGTCCAGTTGTGCAATCATCAGTCCCTTTGCATTTCAAAAACAATAATATTTAAAACCAAGAACTACATATACAGAGGTGGTCTAATATCTCTGGGCATCATGATATTTTCCCTCCAGTAATATTCATTACAAGATACTTTTTCTTATTTGTATGACAGTAGCATCTGGAGGACCCTGCTGAGCTTAGCACCCCATTGTATAATTTCATACACATGTAATTTGCCAGTGTATACCCTAAAAAGCTTACTGAGCAAATAGAGGAAACATACAAAGGAATGAGGAGAGGAGGAAAGGAAGTTGAATATTGCCATTTTATAGATGGAAAACTGAAGCACAGAGCAATTAACTTGGCTGAGTCACTCAGGAAGGCTTTGATTTCTGGAATGCATTAACAGGTGTGTTGTGAGCAAGACACGAGAAGTCATTCTTCCAGGCTACTCTGCGCTGATTAGGCCTCAGTTGCATTTCAAGAAAGATGTGGAGAAATTGGAGAAGGTCCAGAGAAGAGCAACCAGAATGATTAAAGGTCTAGAGAACATGACTTATGAAGGAAGATTGAAAGAACTGGGCTTGTTTAGTTTGGAAAGGAGAAGACTGAGAGGGGACATGATAGCGGTTTTCAGGTATTTAAAAGGGTGTCACAAGGAGGAGGGAGAAAAATTGTTCTCCTTAGCCTCTGAAGATAGGACAAGAAGCAATGGGCTTAAACTGCAGCAAGGGAAATTTAGGCTGGACATTAGGAAAAACTTCCTAACTGTCAGAGTAGTGAAACACTGGAATAAGTTGCCTAGGGAGGTTTTGGAATCTCCATCTCTGGAGATATTTAAGAGCAGGTTAGATAGACATCTATCAGGGATGTTCTAGACAGTATTGGGTCCTGAGGGCAGGGGACTAGACTCGATGACCTTTTGAGGTCCCTTCCAGTTCTAGTGTTCTATGATTCTATGATACCAGTAGAATGAAAACTCCCATAAGAAAGTTTGGGTTTCATTTTGGATCAATGAGATTACACATAAATCACTGCAGATCTAGTCTTGCAACTTGATATGGAGCCAGTCAATGACTTAGTGCAACCATATTTAGTCTGTGTAGTTTTCTTTTCTATGCTGGAATGAGTATTCAGTTCATGAATGCCATGTCAGCCAGGCATGGCAAGAAGGCCCTCACAGCACATCTACATTCAGGGGAAAAGTCAAATTGAGATACGCAACTTCAGTTACATGAATTGCATAGCTAAAGTCGAAATAGCTTAATTCGGATTTTGGCACTATCTACACAGCAGGAAGTCAAAGGAGCACTCTTCCTTTGACTTTGCTTATTCTTCATGAAATGAGGTTTTCAGAAGTCAGAGTACAATGTCCGTCATCTTGAAATTATTTCAAAATAACAATTTTCTGTGTAGATGCACACTTTATTATTTCGAAATAACACTGCAGGGTAGATGTGCCCTCAGCTCCCTGAGAGTGGAGCTCAGAATAATAAATTAGACCAAATAGGGTACTAGAGGGGTTACCCAACCTTTTATTTTTTCTGTGCATTCTCAATTACTACCTGGGTGTGCTGTTTTAAAATTGAGGATTCTGTGAGCTGTAGCTTTTCTTACTGTTTGTATCCCTGACATACAAACAGCTCTGCATGGAGCTCTGGGTGTGAATTTCAGTTGTGAGCTAGATTACTGCTGCTCCATTCTTGAACCTCTCTTGAGTCAGACTCAAACTAGACTTGTGGCAGGATGGGGTTGTGATGTGGGTAAACATCCACCACAGAATGAGATCATCAAACTTCATTCATTTGTGATTTACACCTGTATCTCAAGAAATGAAAATAGTGCACTAACCCAGAGTCTCATTTTATTCTGCATTCTGTCAGCTGACGGTCAGGGCAGTGAGTGGGGTGTGTGTGTGTGTGTGTGTGTGTGTGTGCTATACACCCGAGACTTCAACTGCTGAGACCGGGGTCCCTTGCAGCGGGCAACCTGGAGGAGGTTGACGAGTGCCCCAATAAGTTTGCAGGGAGAGCTTATTACACTTCAGATTTTAGCTGCTAGAATCTGTGATTCCTTCGCAGCGGGCAGCCTGGGGGAGGCTGAGAAGTACCCCAACGGATCTGCCACCTGGGAGTGACACAAATCCAAACGCCCAAGCTCTCCATATATCTGTCCCTTAAGACCGGCTGAAGTTCTTTTAAATTGTGCCTGGTTCTGTTACAGCAACTGAAGGAGTCAGGTTAAAGCTTAAACAGTTACAGGTTTATTGAGGAAGCTTATAAATCATATGGTTGCAATGGCTATTGTTCTATTTCTTAACTGCTAACAAAATATAGATCTTAAAAATGGTTACAAAGGAGATAAAGATAGGAAAAACAGAAATAATAGTACCAAGTAACAGCTTAACCTTTAAAGAGCTCTTAGTCTGTGTACACTTAAGACAGAGGACCACATCCAGGTACAATTTTT